GACCAAACCATAACGTGCCTCGGAGTCAGCTCAGACCGGAGAAGAAGCGTCGGAGTGAACTTTGGGTTGGTCCGTAGCTGACCAAAACTTGGTCTGCCGGACCAACTCCAATGCTGAGCTCCCTCTCGCACGGATCAGAACACGATCTGACCAAAAATGAAGTCGTTGGTCCGGGGCTGACCAACTTTTGGTCCGTCGGACCAACTGACTTCAGTTTTGGTCCGCGACTTCGGACCAACAATCTAGTCCGTCTGATCCAAGACGTCTTGGTCCGGGGCAACAACTCTCAGACCACGGAAATTCTCGTTGGACCAAAGTTCTCGTCTGGTCCGCCGGACCAAGAAAGTTTTGGTATGAGATCTCTTCTCCTGGTCTGTCGAACTCTCCTGGTCAATGCCAAACTTTCGGTCCGGGGCTGACCAACTGGTTGATCCGCCGGAGCACGTGATTCTGGGCCAAAAATTAGATAAAAGTTTTTCAACTTGATCTGATTTTTCGCTCCGTTCGAATCCGTTTTTCGCTCCGTTTTCTCGAATTAATTCATGATTCAAGCCTCTACTTATCTAAGTATAGTTACATAACATAATCTACCATAGATTCATTTATATAACAGACTTATACTTAGATCAAAACCAAGAAAAAACCAAGTTTGAACAATTTTCAAACTTGCTCAAGAGTGATCGTTCTTCACCGGAATCAAGAGTTGAGCTCTGATACCACTGCTGGGTTGCACGGGATCCTCGACAACTGGCTCAAAACCGTGCTAGGATCTGGTCCATGGGCTTGCGCAGCGGAAATGGCGTTCAAAAATGATTTTTGAACAACCCACGGACCAAACCGATTCCGATGAAGAATTCAAGAAGAAAACTAATCTTTGGTTCACAATCTGAAGGTTGGCTTGTATATATATATATATATATCACATATTTTTGTAAATATTTTTCATCTTTAATTTCATTTTTTTTTATAAAAAATTAATAGATCCAGTGGGATCTGTGGTGGTGGAGATGAAGTCGTAGACAGCTATTACATTAGAGGAGTGTGGTACTTTGGTTTCAGAAACGGTATCTGCTTTAGACAACATTGAGAATCCAAATCTTTCCACTGACCAAAAGTGGCAAATTAAGAAGCTTAAAAAAAGAAGAAGCATGATTCCATTGCTGTACAATTTTAGTTCCTTAACGAAGATAAAGAGATAATTATTTTTTTTCCCCACAAATTATTGTTTCAGCTTTTTTTTTAATGGAATGCAAGAGATTTTTTGTCACCACGAAACCTCACCGATCTATCTTTTCGACTCTCGTCTGAACACAATAACAGAAATAAACGGTGACACAGGCGAAATACGAATTCAATACCGAACTCTAACACTTGGTACCTATGTCTCGGAAAGAGGAACGACTGTCTACTAGGATTATACAAAGAAACTAGTTGGAGATCGATCGGAAAACACGATCCCGACTCACGGAGAACAAAGGTTCAGCGTAGAGAGAGAGAGTACACCGAATAAGAAAGAATGCAGAAACCCTAATTAGTCTCGTAACCCTAACCATACAAATGACTTAAATGCCCTCTATCCTTCCAAAGCTTCTAACTCGTCTAGAGGCTTCGAAAACCTCTTCTTCAACCGGAGGCTTTGGTGAAGATCCAACATTTTTCTTTTTGGACTTACGATTTTAATAAAACGTTTGTATCCAAGGCAACGTTTGTATCCAAGGCAAATGGAAAAATAAAACATTTAATACCTATAAATACCTATAAATATTAATTCTAGATTTTAACACGATCTCGACAAGTATTTGCATATTTAACATTCGGAAATTTTAGATTTTTTTGAATCTTTTTGAGAGATATTTAATTAGGTTTAAAATTATAAAAAAAAATATATAATCCAAGCGCACAGTAAAAATTTATGGGTTTAATAAGCCCATACAAATAGACTCAACTTTGGGCCCTAAAGGCCCAATTTGGTCGGCTTTTAAGAATCTTCACTTGACCGTACCATTGTATTATATGTATATATTATAGTACGGATTCCCCGACCCATAACTCCACTTTTGGTCTTTCCTCTTTCTGACGGCTCTCGCAAAAATAAAATCGAAATGATTTTTCTTCTGCAGAATAAGAAAAGGTACACAAGCCGTCACCTATACAATACTTATAACAATGACTTCTATTGAGAGGAGGCAAAGGAGCAGAAGCTAGAGGCCTATAAACACAGTAAATCAACAAATATACATATATATATATCCAAAAGAAATATAAAATATCGAAAAATTCCAAAAGTCATTAAATTTTGGGGTTCTTGATTAAGTGTGATAAAAAGATGACATGTTTAAAAATCTATATTTTTTTTTTCTATCCTTTGAAAACTACCTTTTTATAAGTTTTTGACAAAACTATCCTTACTTTATTGTATAATTTCAATATTGTCATTTAGCGTCCCGAAAAAATGTGCAGTATAAAAAGTAGATTTTTTTGGAAACTGTGTAATCCGAGAGAGCTGTTTTTCATCCGGGAGAACTGTTTTTTGTCCGGGAGAACTGTTTTCCGTCCGGGAGAGTCTGTTTTTTGTGCGGGAGAACTGTTTTTCATCCGGAAGAGTCAGTTTTTTTGTCCAAGAGAACTGTTTTTCGTTCGGGAGAGTCTATTTTTTGTCAGAGAGAACTGTTTTTCATCCGGGAGAATTTTTTTTGTTCAGGAGAACTGTTTTTTGTTCGGGAGAGTTTGTTTTTGTCGAGAATCTTTTTTTTGTCCGAGAGAATTGTTTTTTGTCCGAGAAGACTGTTTTTTGTCCAGAAATATATGTTTTTTTTTTTCGAAAAAGTTTGTTTTTTTGTCCGGAAGAACTGTTTTTTTTCCAAGAGAAATGTTTTTCGTTCGGGAGTGTACGTTTTTTGTCCGGATGAAAAATAGTTCTCACGTATAAAAAAAATTGTTTTTCATATAAAAAATATTTTTTCCCCGATGAAAACAATTCTCTAAAAAAAATTATTCTTCCGAACGAAAATAGACTTTTTCGGATAAAAAAACAGTTCTTTCGGATAAAAAAGTCTTTCCCGAATGGAAAAACAATTCTTTCGGACGAGAAATAGTTTTTTTTGATAAAAAAAAATTATTTTTTCGTATACAAAAACAGTTAAACCAAATAAAAATATATTCTCACAGATGGAAAATAAATATCCCGGATGAAAAAACAGTTTTCCGAGATAACACAGTTTCTTAATAAAATATATTTTTTATGCTGTAATTTTTTTGAAATGTTTAATGGCAATATTGAAATTATACAATAAAATAAGAGTATTTTTGTTAAAAAAAAATTATAAAAAGGTATAGTTTGTAAAGGAAGGAAAAAAAAGTATAGATTTCTAGTGACTTGACATTTTTTTGATACCGGTGCAAATTTCCTCTGAAATCTTCTGGAAGAAATGCAGAAAATCTCGGCATTGCAAAGTGTCAGACCCATGTTTTATTTAATGTATAATTTTAAAAAAACAAGCAATGAATAATGGTCACATTCAAACCGTTATTCCCATTCTTGTCAACATTAAACATTTTCCCAAGTCTTTTGTGTTGTGTGCATGTAATATATACACGTATATGTGTGTGTGTATACATTCTATTATAATTGTGTGTACGTGGATCTAATAGAGAGCATATACATATATGCATGCACACACAAATACATATGCATGTGTGTGTATATATATAATAGCGAAATATATATAGAGTAGAGGAAATCAAAGTTGTTACATCCCAAAGGAATTGATATTCTTGTCTAAGCAATCCACATCAAAATATATTCACTAGCTAGAACCCTATTGGTCATAGATTTTCATTATTATAATACAATAATAGATATGACCATCAATAACCATACCCACATGAAACCATCGATCACATGCAAAAAGACAGCCTTGGAACTGAATCTCTGGTTCCAAATTAAGTTTCTGGAGTCTTGTTGAATTACCAAGTTACCCTCTGGTCTCGTCATCGTGCCCGTGCATGGCTTCACCCCAACAGGAACATGTTGCTGAGATGCTGACATGATCTCCAATGGATAACACAGATTAGGGTTTCTAGAAGCACCGAATCTTCTGCCCATTTTCTCATAGAACATTCTAGAAAACTCAAGCTTTCCTGTTAGGTTGTTACCATTGATGTACAGGGCGCCAAGACAAGGTAAAGTTTCAAGCTTTGATGGGACATTGCCTGTGAGATTGTTGTCGTTCAGACCAAGAAACCTCAATCTTTTCAGATTGGTTAGGGCAGTGGGAATCTCTCCTTTCAAACCCATGTTTGAAATATCCAAAATGACCAAATTATCCATCTTTGCCCACTTTATTCCCATCAAGTCCCCACCAATCGGGTTCTTTGCCAACACAAGTTCTGTCAAAGATTGCATCTTTTCAACGCTTCGTGATAACCCACCTGAGAATTTGTTGTTCCTTAGATCCAGAAGGGTAAGGTTCTTCAAAAACCCTATTTCTTTTGGTAGCTTTCCTTCTAACAAGTTATTGCTGAGATCAAGCTTAAGCAATGAGCCAAGTTCCCCAAAAGAAGGCAACGGCCCTGAGAAATAGTTGCGGCTCAAATCCAAGATCAGTAGCTCTTTCTGTCCATGAAAACAGTCTGGGATCGTACCCGTGAACGAATTTCCTGCCAAAACCAACCGCTTTAATCTCGTTAAGTTGCAGATGCTACTCTGTAATTTCCCCCTGAACCCATTTCCAAGAACCACCAAAGACTGCAGCTTTTTGAGATTGCCAATTGTTTCAGGAAGTTCTCCAACCAGACCGGGATTGGATCTGAACTCGAGCGATTCCAAGCTTGATTCAAAGCTTAACCAATCCTCTCCAGTGATCTTGATGGGTGAGGTGAAACAGTTGAAGAATGTGAGGGATTTCAAGTGCCTGAGGGAAAATAACTGCGGCTTTATCTCCAGACTTGTGACGCAAGCAAGCGAATTTTCATGAACAAGCCCTAGGGTTAAGTCAGTGACATACCACAAACCATCAAAGACGTCACAAGAAACACCCTGAAACCAAAATAAAGTTTCAAGCTTCGATCATTTGAGTGAACTGAAGGAATAGTATTTACTGCAATATGGAATTTGTGGGCTTGGCCACGTTCATGCAACTGAGCATTTAAAGACTGAAAACAGATGTTATACGAAAAGGGGTGGAGCTTTGACGTATGGAAGCTTTAAATTTCACTTTCCAACTGAGGAAACTTCAAAGTGGATCGATGGGTCATTTCAAGAAATCTAAAGACAACTATGTAACAAAAGACTTCCAAGAATCTCGACCATGTTTGGTAATACTTCCACACACATCATTAGTTCATAGTTTTAGGTCTCTCTGAGCTTTGATTTTGCCCAAATTCTTCAGACGAGAAACCCAAATTCGAGGATCTGAAAAGTATACTTTACAAAAACTTGGAGAATACGGTCTCTGCATCACCAGTTCAAGATCCTTTACCAACGCTAACAAGTTCATGTCTCTGAGAATCCATAAAATATTGTGTCACAGAGAGTTGAAACAGAGAAAACGCATGAAAGAAGAGCACCATACGAGAGAGTTGATTCAGTGTAAGAACCTGAATAGGAGTCCAGCCGCAAGGGTCGGGATAGAGATCAGAGCCATTCCATGATGAATCACCAACAAAGCCCTGAATTGCAGAGTACAAAGCTTCACGCTCTGTTTTCGCCATTGGAGCTTCATCAGAATCATCAAGTGCGAATTCTCCAGTGCAATGGAGAACCAGACATAGGAACAGAAAAGAGTGAAGTGTTCGCCAACAAAACATGTCTTTCACAAGAACAGGAACAGAGAGAAACTGGGAGAAACAGAGTGATCTCTTCTGTTCTGTTTTTTTTTTTGGTTAAATTCAATTGTGGGTTTCGTAATTGTAATTTATTGAGGAGAGAGCGATGGGTTGTTGGGTGTATGTCAATGGCTCCTATCATTATTGCCCGAATGGTTAAAAGGAAAAAATATGAAAAAAGAAAATAAGTGAAGAACAACTAGCAAGTCATTTGGTTACATGTTATTGTCTCCTTCACACAAAGTAAAAATATGGCATCTGTTCCCATAACTCATACATGTTATATACACGTGGAATACACACACACACACACACATACATACACTATCATAGTTAGTATTGAATCAATATCCTAAATATTTCTGCATATTTATTTCTGTATACAATAATAAAGTAAAAGCTGTGGTAAATATTGATGAGATTGAAAAAGGATAGAGAGAGAGAGGAACATAGAAGTAGAGAAGTAGGAAGATGGAGAGATGCAGAACACAGAAGATGCAGAGATATGTCAGATCGGAGCAAAGAGGAGAGAAGCATTTAATATTTTCATTTGACAAACATGTTCTTTTCCTTTATGTTTTTTACTGTTTAATTCTTCTGAAACTGAAATGACCCTTTTGACGTTTGTTTATTTTCTCTCTCTCTCTCTCTCTCTCTCTCTCTCTCTCTCTCTCTCTCTCTCTCTCTCTCCATATCCTTCTGTTCCTGCTCTCTTCTCCTTTCAATGTTAATCACAGAGAGTACATAGCCACTCATTGTTTCTCTGAATGGCTTTTAAAGCCTATCTTCTCAAAGCCCTTGTGAGTTTAGTGTTTCAAGTTACATTTATTAGTCCTCCAAATTTACCCTATGTATATAACTCAACAAGATCGCATCTACATACACACACACACCAAGACATGATGATAATAACTGTACTATCAGCTAATGGCACAAGATCAACAGATGAATTGCAGAACGATTAAACATAACATAGATTCAATCATAAGAGTATAATCATCAAAACATTTGTAGCTGAAACGAATTATTCAATCTGGGATCCGACTAATGCTTCTCAAGTTTTAAGTACACTTGCCACAACATGCTAAAGCTCTCCTTATTGTAAACCTCGGACATGACCCTGAACCTAACAATGTCAACAACCTTGACTGCCAAAAAGGAGCATATTTGGTTCCATTCAGCTAAAGTTATAACAAAAAGAATATGTGACTGATAATTCTGTCATCATCAGATTACCTGATCACTGAGAGGAGAGATTCTCGGACGAGATAACTTAAGTGGTGAGAAAGGTCCAAATTTTCTTTCTTACGGATGTTTCACCTGGTTTTGGTGATCCTTCATCATCATCATCATCATCATCATCATCACTAGAGTCACCACCACCATCTTCTTCTTCTTCAACGTCTTCATATTCGTCTTCACCATTGTCGTCCTCATCTCCATCCTCATGTATTATTGCTTTCTCCCTCAGATCATCTTCATCTTCGACATGACTGCTCCCACCATATACTTCAATCGAGGCACCCACATCGTCATTATTAGCAGCATCTGCACTTGTTTCCAACTGTCAAACGAACAACATTGTTAACACGAATGTACTTAAGCAGGCTTCTGTGATGTACAAGTTGATTGATGAAGAAGGGTTAGTCAATCTAATTTAACAGTAAGGTTTTAGTTAAGAGGTAATATTCAAGTAAAAGTTGCAATAGAAACAGGGATCCACTTGGACTCTGAGAATTAAGTGGCTGCAATGGAGCTTTTAACCAACAAAACATAAAGGAAAGGGCTTTCTCACCATTACAACCTGCCCATGCCCAATTTCTGCACTTTCTAATCTTTGAACTTGAACCAATTCCACAGCTTTGTGACTCCTTACAACATCATCATTCAATGGAGCAGATGCAACAACCTCCTCATTATCATCACCATCAGCTGCTAGACTGGAAGAAGTTTGTGCTGCAACCGTAACAGGAGCTGCACTGTCCATTCATAAAATTTCACAGTTATCCATTGATGAGTTAACAGATAAATCCAATTTTCTTTCTAGGAAAAGCAAAAACAAACCCTCAGACTGAAATGAATTTCAAAACAAATTCATCATTTCTGAAATACCATTTAGGGCATACAAGCATGGACTTACATCTTGTTCCTCCTCAGATTGTAACGATTTGTCCCGGGAGTCTGTGGAACTGCAGCAACCGTCTGTCTTCTCTTACGGCGTCCACCAGTGGTAATATCTTCTGTGTGGCTATCACTGTGATCTCCATTCTCAGTTTCAGTTATTCCTGAAGACAGTCCATGCTGCCTCTTCTTTCCAACTATGGCCATTGTCTTTTTCTCACTAGTAATAGAGATTCCCTCAACACCTTCATCACGAGGTTGCATGCTCATGTTGTCTTTAGATTCTTCAGGGCTTTCTACGCGAAACTGCTCTGCTATTTTGGTGATACCCTTGGCAGAACGTGAAGCATTCAAAGCAGGCTTGTTCTTTCTAGGTCTGCCTCGTCTTCGCCTAGTGCTTTGAAGGTCAGGCTGCAAAGAACCATCAGGAGTTTCTTGTACTCTACTGTCACCATAGCTGTGCTCCTCAACAGATGGTATGGAACCCTTATCCGCCTCAGGAATAGAGCTATCAGATGGATTTGGGTGTGGTTTCTCAATCTTTTTTTCCATGTTAATTGCAGATGAAAGCTGCTTAGGACTGCCTATGCCGGTTACATTCTGAGCTATTTTACTAGGTGAGAACAGCCTTGTGCATTTCTGCAGCAAAGACATGTGCCCTTTAGAGTCCTCCTGTCCAGAGCCGCTTCTATTAACTGGTTTCTTGATATTGCAGGAATCAGATGCACAAGAATTGCCTTGAATATCATTGAAGATTACATCTTGTGGAAGAGAAGTCCCTCCTTCACTATTTGGCAGCTGGAGATCAGACAGCACAAACTCTTTCACAAGCCGCCCACAAACATCACATTCCTTGGACATATCCACAAATGCTAGAAAATGATCTCTTTCACGGATAAATTGTTCCCTACGTTTCTTGAGGTTGATACTGAGTATAGTAAGCTCACTTATGTCATTATGCATCTCTACTTGTTGCTCTTTTAGCTTTTCCTTGTGCTTCGCAATTTCTTCACTTTGCTTTTTGACCTCACTCCTTTCGGACCTCATTTCCTCCATTTCCCTGTCCATCACCTGCTTGAGGTGATCAATTTCACTCAGTTCTCTCATTCTTTTCTCTTCAAATTTTGCGACCTTTTCCTGTAGACCTTTCTCACTTTGTTCTTTTTTCCCCTGTAGTTCAGTTTCTAGATTCCTTCTCATTGATTCAAGATCTTCAAACATCTTCATATGCTCAAGTTTAGCTTTTTCATGTAAAGCTGACCTCTCATGTTCCATATTAGCTTCAAATGATTCTTTTTGTAGCCTAATATCATCTAATTCATGCTTTATGCGATCTTTCAAAGCACTTTCTTCTTTCTTCAACCTCTCTTCTTCCAACAATCTAAATCTTTCAAACTTTGCCTGTTCTTCAGCAAGTTTCACTTGCTCTTTATTAAAATCTGCCATCTTCTCATCCAACACTTCCCACTCTTTCTCGAATCTCTCCTTTTCTTGTTTCAGATGGTCACGTTCCTTTGAAAGGTACTCCTCATGCTGTCTAGATTTCTCCAGCTGCTGCTTGAGTTCAGACTGCAATCTCATGTGTTCTAGCCTCTCTTCGTTCTTTATCTCAAGCTTTTCATGTCCTTCTTGAATAATTTTCTCCTTTTCCATCATCTCAGTTCTGATATTTTCAATCTCTTGTTTAAGATTCTTCAGTATCTCCTCATCAGCGAGGAACTGTTGCTTTTCCATGTATAGTTCTTTCTCCTCAGCTTTCATCACTTTTTCCTTCTCTTTCATAGCTTTCAACCTTACTTCAATGTCAGCCTCCTTCTCCTTTACTCTGTCAAACCTTTTATCCAATGCTTGCTCCCTTTTCTGCAACTTCGCTTCTCTGTGGTTAATTTCAACTTCCTGCCGCTTCAATTCCTCAACCTTCCTAGTGAGCTCCTCATCGAGAGATTTTCTTTTACATTCACATTCCAACTTAAATTCCGCCATCTCAGCATCTAGTTCTGCCTTCTGATCTTCAATAAGCTTCTGAATTTCTGTCTGTAAATAAAATAAATAAAAAATAACAGCTTTACTAGAGTTTATAAGAGGAAATCGGGGGAAACTATCTGATCAGATCCAAGGTTATAGAAAAAGCTATCTTGGCACCCAATGAAAGTTCATAGAGTACAAGAAAGTAAGAAATTCCATTCATGCTTGTTTATGCCCTAAGAACTGGATTTACAAATTCATGAGCTAAAATCCATAACACAGAAGTGTGTCTACATGAATTGAACTTAATAGATTTCTATCTGGTCACACAGCATAAGTAGAAAGCTTTTCTCATTTTTTTGGAGGGAAATCACCAAAAAAACCCTATACTCTTTCCAGGTCGATGAAAAAACCCTATACTTTTTTCGTTACTAATTAAACCCTATACTTGGTGTGATTAACCCATAAAACCCCTAACTTTTTAAAAATTCATCGAAAACCCCCGTGTTTGACAACTCAAACAAAAATGAAGATGTGGCAATAACATGGCAATAACATGGATGCGTTGCAAATCTTGGAAGACATGTTATTGCCACATTATCATTTTTGTTTGAGTTGTCAAATACGGGGGTTTTCGGTGAATTTTTAAAAAGTTCGGGGTTTTATGGGTCAATCACACCAAGTACAGGGTTTAATTAATAACAAAAAAATACAGGGTTTTTTCATCGACTTGAGAAGAGTATAGGGTTTTTTTTGGCGATATCCCTTTTTTAAAAATAAAAAAAAATTCTTCTTATTTGATAGGTTATCAAAGGATGAAACAAGAATTTTCTACTTGATATGCAGTTAATCCTTTCTGTCGCTGGGTAATTCTTACGACTTAACTCAAAGGACCACCATCCTTAGTTCTAGATCCTATATGCTTTATATCAACAATGCAAAAGATAATATGCACTAACAGAGAAAGCGAATGTCATGTCATATAATGAGCTATTCGATCCATCAGATGGGACCGAGTTCACAGCTTTGACGTTTCTTTTAAGTTTTAACAGAACCATGGATAGGCACCACTATATATATATACAAGACACACTTACCCCTTCTCTAGCAATAAGCTTCTCTTCAAATATGAAGAGTTCTTTCTCCTTTGCCGCTAATATGCTCCGGAGAGAATCAGCTTCCTAGAAAGATCCATTAAAAACGAAGTCATTAGAGGAAAGGAAAAGGAATAACAGAAAAAAATGTAGTTTGCAATAGCATATAATATAACTCACTGTCTCTTTCGCCGTCAATTCTTCCAAACGATTATTCACATCTTCTTCTATTTCCTTAACCTTTGACCTAGACAGATCAATCTTTCTTTGTAATTCTTCGAGTTCATTTTCTTTCTTCTTCATGTCCCTTTCCTTTTCATTAACTTTTTCCTCTTTCTGGTTCAGGTTTCTCTTCAGCCCAGACATAGAATCCTCTCTTTTTTGTAGTTTTCTCTCCCATTCATGAAAGTCTTCTCTTTGCTTGTGGAAAATTGTTTCATATGATTCTCGCCTGAGGAGTAAAAATGAGAATATATGACTAACAGAAGACCACATCTTGATAGTTACAGCTACAACTTGTAATGAGAAACGAAACTTACTCTTTAGCAAATGATGTTCGCCCTTGTTGTAGGATGCTTTCGTGAGTTTCCACTTCCTTCAGTCTCCTTTCTACCTCGGAGCTCTTCCTAGTTGCCTCTTCAAGCTTTCTATCAGCAGCAAGAATTTTGCTTTCCACCTCCGAAGATTTTCCTTCAAATCTAGCAGCTAAAGCATTTGCATCAGCTAGTTTTGTGTCAGCAATGAGCTTAATCTTGGCATGCTCTTGTTGAATTTCACGTAGAGCCTTTTCAAGCTGCAAACAGAAAACGGGCATGAAGAAATGTCAGCACAAAAGTTCAAGTTGCTAACTCAAACAAACCACAAACTCAGAAAATGTCTACAAAAGCAAATAACTAGCAAGTTACAAAGAAGCATGTTAGATGTCTAAGGAAGTTTAGTGCATGAAAAAGGCATACATAACTTTATGTATCCTACACACAGAGAATTTCCAATATTTTTTGAAGAGAGTAAAGGCGTGGAAAGCTTATACAAAATTTAAGAACAGAGAAAAATCAATGCAAAATAATATTTACCACAATCCATCATGTGAAAGCTTCTAACCAACAAAGAAGTACGATACCTCTGCCACACACTCCGTTTCAATACCCAAGGCTTTTCTCAAGCTTTCTTCACGCTTTTCAGCATCTGATTGTGCACACAAATGCAATGATTGTTCTCGTTTAAGGATTTCTTGGGCTTCTTCAAGTGCCTGACTTAGTTGTTCCTGCTTTGAGTTCCACTCTTTCTTCTCCAAAAGGAGAAGCCCCATATTATACTGGTAGTCAAATAACTGCACAGGAGAATACATTATGAGGCTAAGCTAGACAAGCACAAACAACAATATAGGCAACAGAAAGGCCTATCTTTGGAAGAAGTATAAGTAAACAGAAAATGATAAATTTTTCCACGAAGTTGAAATTTTTAAAAGAAAAAATTATATGAATTTAGGCCAACATATGAACACATGATCGTCCGTGTAACTCAACACACAGACTCATTGTCAGTTTTGTCCCAATGTTCTTCCTCTAAAGAAGCAATACAGTACACTTTCAATTGGTCAATCGATCAAACAAAAGATTCTCCAAATATAACGAGAAGAAGTTCAACCAAAACAACAACCAGCAGGAACCCATTACGTTTGCCGAGAACCATAAACAAAACCCAACAAGAAATGACAAAGTTTAACATGTTACCTCCTTTTCAAGCCTTGAAATCTTCTCAAGAAGCGCCTCTCTGTCTTTCCTCTCCATTGAAGCCCCGTTCAACAACCCCACCTCCCTAAACCTTCTCCAATCATCGATATCTCCGTCACCCACCGGTTCACCAGAAACACCGTCACCGTTCAGCGTTCTAACCGGAGGCGGCAGCAGAGCGGGAACCGCCGGGTTTTCGCCGAAAGTCACCGTCTTTCCTCTTCGTTCACTGTTCTTCTGGTTAGAGACGCCGCCGAATTTGTACGCCTCGTTTCTGGGCGTCATCGCCGGAGACATCCATGGTTTCCTCTGTGGTGTGAACATGGTTGATGATCATTCAAGAAAATTGAAATCGAAACCCTAATTTCTCAAAATTTCCAGATTTTTGCGTCTCTGTGCAACGGCTCTGATTTTAAATTAAATTCGGGTATAAAACTATAATATTAACCTTCCTCGTAATTTAAGGTAAGTTCAGGGGTAATATCGTAATAACTATCTCCGCCTCCGGTTTGATTTGGTTACGTGGATACAAATTCGTACGAAACCAAAAAGATCGGTTTGATTCGGTTATAAGAAACAATTTGGTTTTTGTTTTCTTCTTCAGAATCGGGGCAATTGCAAAAATACCCTTAAATGTCGATTTCACTTACAGCCCATACCCTCGCACAGTAAAAAGAAAACGGCAACATCAGATATACCCTTATAAATATAGAATCCCTATAATATCCTTCCTTTATTTATATAATAAATAAAATATAGATATATTTTTTATCCCTATTTTCTCTCTCCTCTTTATCGTTGTCTCCCGCCATACATCGCATTCTCTCTCTTCGAGTTTTTCTTCTTCTCTCTCTTGAATGTCTCTTCTCCAACACGATTTTTTGGTAAATTTGCTGCGAAAAACAAGTGAAATCTGCAAGAAACTCATCCAATAAACGTAGATGTAGTGGTATTGCCGCTTATAGTGGAAGAAAAACGAGTAAGTGGAAGGTCTAAACAAAACCGATTTTCTAGATCTGGTGAGACTCGAAAAAAGAAAATCATGTTCGGTAGGTTCGGTCAGTACATCAATGATGTCACAGACGTATGAGTCATAATATTATGTTCGTGCATGTAATGACATTATCAATTCATATTTGGACTAATTCACTCGTGTATTATATGGTAAAAACAGTCGTCAAACTAATTAAACTCGTCAAACTCATCGTAATACTAATCAACTCATAACACTGGTCAAAGTCGTAACACGCATTCGGGGTTTCATGTTT